TTATATTGTGCCAGGGGTGGTGGTGATGGTGGTGACGGCCCTTGGGGCAGATCTCATTTTTCATAGACACAAATGAAGGAGACAAAGACCCTTTTCTTGTTCTTTGTTTTTTTAACCTTCTTTTGGCTTGTTTATTGGTATAGATGGGAGCATGGCTTCTGGCCTGCAGAGGGAAGTTAAGCGTGAGGAAAGAGGCCATCTCTGAGCATAAGCAAAGTGCAGTGCTCTTCAGTCGCTCTGAAATAATTTTGATTGCCAAACAGAAGGGGTTCACTGCAGGTCATCAGCTTGGGTTGCTTTCAAACGGGAAAGTTAACATTTCCCAATTCGATATTTACTTGGTAAGAAAGAAGATTGTGACCCCCTGAGTTGTTGACATCCAGACATTCCTTCCTTCCTCCCTCCCTCCCTCAAATATAGCCAACTTTCATCCCTTCCAGTCCTGCATTTAATTCTCCCCCTCCCCGCTTGTATTGAATATAATTAGGGAATAACTAGAGGACAAACTCACCCTCCACCTACCTCCTTTCTTGAGGATTCACTTCATTTCATGTGACCTTTGCTCAAAGTTGTGGTTATTTTCATCAGGCTAAGCTACTACAGCAATATGGAGGCTTTGGGGAATCCCAAATCCAGAGACTTTTTTTTTTTTGTGCTCTGTGTGCAAAATGAGAGGAATATTCCCCGGTTCTGCTTCAATAAACTATAGGTAGTCCTTGACTTACGGCCACAATTGGCAGCAGAACGTCTGCCGCTAAGTGATGTGGTTGTTAAATTAGGCCGCTGGTGAGAACAGTTACAAAAATGCATGGTCTTTGGGATTGGTGCCCAAATCCTGCAACGTTACAGAGGAAGAAGGAGAGAGGAATAGGCAGAACACACGAATCTCCGTGTGTTACTCCATTTGCTTTGCATGCTTAGGGATGGGAAAGGGTCTTCTCAGAAAAGAGGTGATTGCACTCAGGGGCGTGAAAAGGCCTGGAATGTTTTTCTGCACCCTTGAGAGAGCAAAGGGTAAAAATGCTTGGAATGGCTGTGCAAAGTGATTTGGCAAAGAGATAGGTCTGGCCCCATAGTGGGAGGTTGTTGGAGAGGGTGGGAGATGTGTCTGCAGGAGGACTGGTGGGAAGGTTTCGTAGCAGATCTGAGAATCTTAGCTGGTCAGGATTACTTCAAGCTGAGAAGAGAATCAGCCTCTCTCATATTACGCCAGTTTTCCCCCCCCCCTTTGTTTTGGGATGGTTTCTAATCATTGGCTCAGCTTTACGCTGACCTCTGACTATAATGAAGATTTGAATTGAATTCAGTTCAGTTCAACTGATTGATTTCGATTTGAGTGTCGTAGGCTTACATGTGCGTGGAGGCCCTACTTTAGTGTTCAAAAACATGATGGGAGTCGTAATTCAGGGGCAGTTGTAGTCTGGTTATTTGAATATCGCTGTTAACTAATTGTGCAACGCAAAAAGGACTGGTCGTGTTGTCTCAGTTTCCCAATTCCTGGGGTTGCGACAGTTTTTCCCAACCCGACTAACTCCCAGATGCTTGAACTTCAACTCCCAGAGCACCCTTGGCTCTTTTATGACTTGTGGACTTCAACTCCCAGAATTCCTGAGCCAGCATGGCTCAGCATAGAAACCTCTCCATTTCTCCTCAGCATGTGTGGCTCAGGAATTCTGGGAGTTGAAGTCCACGTCATAAAAGAGCCAAGGTTACCTACCCCTGCCCTAGTCAGATGGGCCGTGGCTGAGAATTCTGGGAGTTGAAGTCCAGTCCCCTCACAGTGGCCCAGTTTGGGAACACTGCAAGACAGGGCCAGGTTAAGATTGAGGAGATCCCAGTTGAAATCCTCCTGTCCACCATAAAACTGACTGGGGGAACGCTCCAATTAAAGTGTTGGTGAAGGAAATGAATCCGCTCTTCTCTTCCACCATCACCCCCACACACCCCACCACATTGATCAGCCTGTCCACCGAGTCAAGTATTTCTCTCCGGTGGCGTTTGCACACTTGTGGTCTCTTCGGGTGAATTCCTCCAAAATAAATGCCGCCTCCAGTTTCTGTCCTGCCTGTCACCTTCTGTGCTTTAAGGCATGAGATCAGCTAGTTAATTCTTCACATGCTTGGCTACTTTGGGGCCTGCCAAAGCTGGCCTAGCGTGGTCTTTCTCTCAAATGCGTATTTTCTCCTTTTTCCTGATTCCGTCACAGACGCCTATTTTGACATGACTTTCTCATTGTCATTCTGGGGAGGGAAATGAAAGGTTTAAATAATGGTAGGATAAAAAGAATGGTGCTCTGTGATTTCAGGTTTCAGCTCTTAAGCAAAACTGAAGTTTAAATACAGGTAGTCCTTGACTTATGACCATAATGGAGCCCAATGTTTCTGTGGTGAGTTTTGCCCCATCTTACGACCTTTCTTACCACAGCCATTAAGTGAATCATTACAGCTGTTCCATGTGCAAGCACGGCTGTTAAGTGAATCTGCCTTCCCCATTGACTGTGCTTATCAGAAGGTCGTAAAAGAGGATCACATGACCCTGGGGCACTGGAACCGTCATAACTATGAGTCAGTTGCCAAGCGTCTCAATTTTGATCACAGGACCATGGTGTTATTGGAGCGGTCTTAAGTGTAAAAATCAGCCATAAGTCACTTGGTGCCCCTAGCAGGAGACCCTTAGAAAGAAAGGGCCACGGCCAAGTATTGTTCGAGTGGTTTTCACTTTCCTTTTGTCTCATTTGTGTAAACGTTCAATTGTTCACCCACCCACGGGCTGCTAAAGCAAGTAGCAAAGAAGAAGAAGAGGAATTTTCTTTCGAAAAAGCATCCTCTGTCTCGGAAGCTGGGAGTGGAGTGACTTTGGTTATGTTTAAAAGGGGGAAGCCATCTAAACCTGGGAAAGGGTCAGGAAGATGCCCAGCACCATTGTCTACCTACTGTTTCAGCATCCTGACTCTGTTGCCACGGAGACAGTGACCTAGATAAAGCCCCTCCCGGGGCTGAGAGGTCTTTTAAATGCATGGGAGGGGATCTCATATGGCAGACCAGGGTCCTTGGGAAAGAAAGTGGCCTGATTTTAACTTAGTTATCCAATATATCCAGGAGGGAAGTGGTCAGCCGGGATAGGCCTATGAAGCTGGAAAGGGGAGCCTAAAGCAAAAATTCACTTTTGTAGCTCTCCTCCAGCAGCTGATGCGTGTGGTCCTCAACTTGCAACCACAATTGGGGCCAGCTACTAAGCAAGGCAGTTAAGCGAGTCACACCACGTCGCTTTTTGTAAAGGTTGTTAAGCAAATCACTGCAGTTGTTAAGTGAATCACATGGCGGTTAAGCTGATCTAACTTCCCCAACTGACTTTGCATGTCGGGAGGAGAAAATGAAATTTATTTATTTATTTATTTAGAAAAATTTATACTGCCGCCTACTCGCACACGGCAAGGCTTAACACAGATACCTCAGCCAAATTAGCTAACATAGTCAAGTGCGTCAAAGGGAGGCTTAGCTGAGGATAAAGCCCACAGCTAACCCACATCGCTGGGTTGTTGCAAGAACAAAAATTCAGCACTGATGGGAAGTATTTTGTGTCCCCTCCCCTCCAAAGGACACACACCTGGAATACAGGGGAAAAAAAGGCCTGAAGACTTGCAAGGAAAACTTCTTTTTTTAGTTTTCTGTTTGTGGTTTCTGTTTGTTCCTTGGGCAATGAGAGGGGATGACTGAAATCAAGAGTGTTGTGTTGCATTTCTTTGTTGCATAATGGTCAATGAACTTGGTTCAATATGGGTGAATGCACCAGAGAGACAAAACTGGGGACAAGTCACCCTGGATCAGATCTAGCTAGGAGTTGACGCTGTCTTGATGACACATACAGTTAGTCCTCGGCTTAAGACCACAGTTGGAACCAGAATTTCCATTGCTAAGCAAAGCAAGTCTTAAGTGAGTCACATCCAATTTTGTTAACAATCTTTTTTTTTTGCCACAGCTGTTAAATGAATCACACGGTCGTTAATCAAATCCGGCTTCCCCCATTAACTTTGGCAGAAGCCAGCTGGGAAGGTCCCAAATAGCGATCATGTGACACACACACAGACACACACTCCAGGACGCTGCAACTCTCATAAATACATGCCAATTGCCAAATATCCGAATTCTTATTGTGACCGTGAGGGATGTTACAATAGTCGCAAGTATGAGGATCAAGTCGTAAACCAAAGAGCCGTTGTAATTTTGAACGGTCACTAAACAAATGGTTGTAAGTCGACTAACTGGGCTTGGACAATGACTAGTCAATTAATTGCTTGTCAGTCCAGTTGGTACAAGGTAAAAAGAACAGTGGATCTGTATGTCTATGGCAAGGGTCTTCAGACTTGGCCCATTTATGACTTGTGGACTTCAACTCCCAGAATTCCTCAGCCAGAGTGCCTGGCTGAGGAATTCTGGGAATTGAAGTCCACAAGACATAAAAGGGCCAAGTTTGAAGACCCCTGGTTTATGGAGATTCTCAGCCCATTCAGGTTATAGTTATCCCAAAGATGCTTTTTCATGAGGCAACTGGACTTGTGTTTTTTTGTGTTTTTTTTTTTGAAGACATTTCGGTTCTCACCCAACAGCTCTGACTGGATGGTGAGGAATGGGAGCATTTATACCAGGGGTCTTCAAACGTGGCCCTTTTATGACTTGTGGACTTCCACTCCCAGAATTCCTCAGCCAGTGTGCCTGGCTGAGGAATTCTGGGAGTTGAAGTCCACAAGTCATTAAAGGGCCATGTTTGAAGACCCCTGATTTATACAGTCAGAGCTGAAGAAGCTTCTTAGATGAGAAGCGAAATGTTTTCAAAGAAAAACAAGAAAGTCCCGTTGCCTCGTGAAAAAACATCCTTGGGAGTGGATCTGTATCCGGGAGCCCAATATAAAACCCACTTTTTCACCGCTGAGTGAGTGACCTGATTCCATCTCAACTCTTCCTTCTAACAACCTTCGTTTCTCTGTGTCCTTCCGCTTTTAGGCGACCGCTTGCGCCAGACGGAGAACCGCGCCACCCGTTGCAAAGTGGAACGCCTGCAGCTTTTGATGCAGCAAAAACGGCTGCGCCGGAAGGCAAGGAGGGACGCCCGGGCCCCTTACCACTGGCTGCCCAATCGAAAATCTGGCCGCAACAGCAGTGTTTCCAGTGAAGGCAGCCTTGATCTAGACTTCGAAGATTCAGTTTGGAAACCCGAAGTCAAAGCGGACATGAAATCCGAATTTGTCGTAGCATAAAAAATAATAAACCTTGAGTAGGGGGAAAATGGCATCTTTTGGGGTGGGCAGGGTGGGACAGGGAGTGTTGAGGAAAAAAAAAAGAATTGAAAGACCATTTAGTAGTAATAATAATAATAATACTTTTTTTTTTGGTCCGTGAGAGCAAAGCTTTTTGGGTGCTTGATTCTAACACAAGACTAGATGGCTGTGGATTGCGTTGCGTGGACCTCGTTTTCAGCTGCACCGAAGTGGATCAGCCCAGCCTTGGAACAGTATTTTCTATTTTCAAAAAAAAAAAACCTGTTCTGCTTTTATTTTAAGAACTGAAAGAGCTTGGGGGGCAAAAGCAGGCGAGCGAGAGACAATTTGGAAAGCAAGATGGCAAACACATTTCTTGGGGAGAGCTTCCTCTGATTTCAGAAAGAAGAATCTTCAATGGCTGCCTTAGAAAAAAACGTGTTCAGGAAAAGCCGGACCAGTCATGGATTGAATGGAGAGAGAGAGAGAGAAAAGAAAAGTTTAACCTTCTTACTTCCTAATTTTATTTTACCATTGGGGATCGGAGGGCCAAGAGGAAGGGGCGAACCAACCCAAAAGTTTGCATGGGCTGCTTCCTCCCCACCCGAGCATTGACAAAAGGGTGTGTGTTTGAAACTGGGAGGCAGGTTTGTCTCAGAATGCTTCCTCCTTTTTTTTTTTTTTTAAAAAAAAAAAGAATAATTGTTATTATTTTTTATTTGGGTGACTTTTGTGTAACGGGAAGCGCTGTGCATTCTTCAGACTAAGGGAGGGCCCCGACGGAGGGTGGGTGGGTCAAAAAAAGAAAGAAAAGAAATAAGGGTGTATGCTTGTGTGTGTGCGCACATGTCTATCTGTGTGTGTTTCTTTCCCTTCCTGGATATGTAGCATTTCTGAATTAATCTTGATCTGTCCAATCTCCTCTTAAGACCCCACTGGTCTCCCCCTATTCACTTCCAAGGATGTTTTCTGTCACGGGCACTTTAAAGAGGTGTGACTCGTGCGGGGGGGGGGGGGGGAGGAGAGTTTTGGAGGCAATTCTCAAACCATGGAGGAGTAAGGGGATATGGAGTGGGGGACACAGGGTAAAGAAATACTATATGCCCCCAGTTTGAGGGCTTCCTCTCTTCACATTGTACAACATGAATGCGAGATATGGAGGTTTTTTAAAAAACAATTCTGTGCATTAAAACATAAGAGGGGATTCTGATCTTGCCTGTTTTTTGTTTTTTTGTTGTTGTTTTAAAGAACCAACAAAATATGTTACAAGCTAGGCTGGGGAGAATAAGATTTAAAACCTACCATTCTGGAGCCCCTTTGGACAGCTAGAAAGCCGTCTTGTGATATTTCTGGGGTTTTTTTGCCAACTGCATACAAAAATCAGCCCTAATACTTGGCCCCTTGGTTCTCCCTGTGACAGAATTCTCACCTCCTTTCGTGTTTACCTCATCCATGTTGGGTAGCTGCTGAGAGAGTTTTCAATGCCTTTTTTTTTTAGCCCCTAAAAACGGCCTGCATCCTTGATCCTGCCTCCCATATCCTCCATGAAAAGACCCAGGCTTTCTGTCCATTCTCAGAGGCCATTTTGCCATGCACAGAAGTCCAAACTACACCCTCTGGTTACAGAGACCAAGTCCTTGTTCTCATCCAATTTTTGTTTTAATTTGTCTTTTTAGTTTTTAATTAATGGACACAAAAGTAATCTCTGGAAACTTAAATGCTAGGGTATTTTTGTTGTTGTTGCTGATTGACATTGATGATCTGAGCCAATAATTTTTCATAGGCAGTAGAAATTAGTTCTCATTTTTCTTCGCAGATCTAGCAACCACAAGTACGTTTGTGTATATGTGTGTATATGTGTGATGTTTGAGTTTCAAAGAAAAGACTGTGTGTGGAGAATAACTTGGGATCATCCATAGATCCAACTTTTGAAATAAGGATTTAATCTGCCAAGTCCATTTCTATGAAAACCTTATCATGGAGGGCCTAAGCATCTCTGGGTCATGATGTGAATATAAACACATGTTTATATAAAAAAAAAAAATCACAGTTCTCCCTGAAAATAGAATAGAATAGAATGGTGACTCAAAGCTGGATCTTTGGCAAATTATTTTTGACGGCCACATTTTGCATGAATTTCTTTCGAGGTCCCCCAGTCAATGAGGTTCCCCAACTTACAATAAACCTAGGCTTATGAGAAGAGAAAGTCACAATAACTTTGGTGTAGGTCTCTCTAAGAGCAAATAGGCAATTCCTGACTTGCTTTGTGATGCCCCTCTTAAGATGCTGGATTGCATTTTTCACAATTGATGAGGGATGAAACTAAGACAAGTTTTCCATCTCCTCTTTCTTTAAACATCTATTCTAGGTCCTTTTTAGTCCATCCATCTAGGCCAGCGGTTCTCAACCTTTCTAATGCCGCGACCCCATAATACAGTTCCCCATGTTGTGGTGACCCCCCAACCACTTATACATCACCGGGTGCCAGGGGCGTGGCCAAAGAAAAGGGGGAAAAATGGCGGACAGCCTTGTTTGGCGACCCTCGTGAAATGGTCGTTCAACCCCAAATGGGGTCCCGACCCACAGGTTGAGAACCACTGATCTAGGCAGGCTGAAGAGAAAGATAAGGACTCATTTTCTTTTTTTTATCAAGAGCTGGAAAGTGTCCCTTTCCCCCCCTTTCTTCAGCCTTCTGTTTCATTTTGAGTTTTCATTTAAGTTGTCCAAGTGGATTTTGCAAGCATTAAAACATCGGGAAAACCACACTGGGGGGGGGAAACCAGGCAGAGGTCCCTCTCCATTTATCATTTTGCTCTGACTGATCCACCATTTCTCCTCTCTTTATGCAAACCTTTTCCATAGTTCAGATGATCGGAGCAATCTTGGGGTACAGGAGAGAGACCCCCATCTCCATCCATGGCTACCTGCATCTTTGGCCTAGGAATTTGTAACACTACTAAGTACCCCATGTTAATTTTCCCCCTCCTTAAAAAAAAAAAGAGGCTAATCAAAACCAGAACAAATCTGTGAAGCAAATGTCTTTTTTTGGAGAGAGGCTTTCTTATCAATTACTGTACTCCACTATCTTCCCTCTTGTGCCAAATTTGCGCCTGCTCTTGAAATGATAAAGTTTTTCAGCGGTTGGTGCCTTAAAGCGCTGCTGAGATCAAGAGGCATTCTCAAAAAAAAAGGGGGGTCCTCTTGAAAGGTTGAAGCTGGGATATTCTCTGTTTTCTCCTTTTGGAGGAAAAATGCACAAAACTTTTTTGTAGCTCGGAAACACTCTTGCCTCTTCAAACAATGGGCCGTTCTGTGTCCATTACTTTTTGTTTTCCACCATCTATGAAATACAGAGATTTGTGATTAGAGACTAGTCAACTTTTTTGGCTGTCTTAAGAAGTTTATCAAAAGTTTAATTAAACTTGGTTTTGAAGTTCACCACTCAGATTTATTGGGGGGGGAAATAGGGTACCCAAGATAGTAGGGGGCAAACTTTGCATTGGAATTTGGCTACGATTTTTGCAGCATTTTATGGTTAGAAGTCAGGTTGAAGATGGGCCTTCTCTCCTTTGTAGATTAATGATAATTCCAGAAACTTCTTAAAAGGAAAACTAAGGTCCTGTAGAGAATGGAAAGTCACATGTTACTCTCCAGATGTGCTGGCCAGCTGCTCCAGTGAGAGGTGCAGCAACACATCTGGATGGATCCAACACATTTGGATGATTGAAGTGTTGGGGAGAGCTCATCCAAATAAGATTGTAAAACTAATTTTGGGGTGCCTGCAAGATGGTGTCAGGTTGTTGCTTCCAAATAACTCCATTTATATTTCTCTATGTTGGTCCCCCCAACCTTGTGTTTAGCAAAAATCCAGGGTAGCCCCTTCATCTCATCTTTTGCTTGTATGTTAAGACAATTGCACAGCTCTTCACCTTCCCCACCCTCTGAGGTCACACAAAATTTGCATCTCTTCCTGGAACTTTCTTGCCAACTAAGGGAAGTGGGCAACCGCCCCCCCTCTGGTCAAATTGTGTCATTACACTTCCTCTTTTCTTTCCCCTAGATGTGAAATTTCCTTTGTATGTGATGCTGTAGCGGGATTTTTTTTTTTAAGTTTTTAAAATGTTTTTTTAAGTTGTGTATTTAAATGTACTACTTTTTTGTATGGTGTGTGAATATATATATATTCTTACTTCCTGCCCCTCCCCACTTCATCCATTTTTTTCCCTACTTGTCACCTGGGGGAGGGGTCAGCTTTTTTTTCGCCCCATTGCTGAACATTTAGGTAGCAGCAAAAATGAATCCCAGAAGCATTATTTAAAAAATAATAATAAAGATCCTCCTGTATGTGTGATTTGAAAGAATGTGGGGGAGGGGGTGCGAGGAGAAAACACATAACTTGTTTTATCACCTCATTTAAGTTACCTGTATTAAAAAAAAGAAACTTTTAAAATGATTTAAAAAATAATAAACACAAAATAAAGATTGCTTGAGCCACATTTCGGTTGCAGCCTAAATAATTCTCTTTCATTTTGGTATGGAATTAAACTGTCCGGGCAAGAGAAGGAAAGATCCTTTTAAGCTCCAGCTGTTTTGCAGTGGTATGGTTTGTTCACAAACACACAGGCATAAATGTGCGTGAGACAATGTGCCTCATTTCCAGTTTTCTCCCCAGGGGTATGCATGAGGAAGGCATATCTGACCTGGAAACAAATTTCCTTTCCTACGAATTGCTCCCTGATGCTTCGGATAGCAATGATTTATGTTTGTTTTTTTATTATTTATATCCCATCTTTATTATTTTTATAAATAACTCAAGGTAGGAAAAATAACCTTCCTCTGATTTTCCCCATAACAGCCCTTTGCGATGAGATAGGTTGAGAGAGAGTGATGGTACAGTCATTCAGTTGGCTTTCATGCCTAAGACGGGACTAGAACTCACTGTCTCCTGGTGATTCACCCAAAGTCACCCAGCCGGCTTTCATGCCTAAGGTGGGACTAGAACTCACTGTCTCCTGGTGATTCACCCAAAGTCACCC